TCAGCGGCCTTGCAGAAACCAACATGGCGCCAAGAAACCGGGTAACACCCAATGACTCCGTCATCACTTGAAAGATGTGAAAAAGCGTAGAGTAGTCAGAAATAAGATGACTTCGGTCGAGAAGTCATCCAAGCGAGAAGAAGTCATGGCAACGAATTCTCCCGCGACCACCAAGAGACAGAGAGCCCACGCTGAGCTTGGGTCCAGTGAATCTTCACGACATTGCAACAGCTTGTGTTCATTCCCAAATAGCACATCTATTCACTACTAAAAAGGCTCGAACTAGCATAATCGTAAGTGGTAGCAGTCATTTGGAGCGAAAAATAGCTGTACCGATTAAAAACGAAATGCTGGATTGTGCCATGGCCAGGCTAAAGAGCAAACGCAGTGCTACGCACAAGTTTTCTGTCTAGCCTTCTAACCACTGCATGCAGAAGAACGCTATACAATAGATCACAGTATGGTTACCACGGTGTAGCCAACAAATTAGCATCTGGTGCTTTCGGAGTTCCAGCTCTGACTCTCATTGCCATAGTAACGTGTCACTTGCTGTGTTTTTGAGTAAAACAGCAGCAAGTAAAATAAATAAGCAAAATATGTGCATTGAAGCTTGCAGACTGTCGATGGGCAAAGCACGGTTCGCATAACATTAAATTGACATTGCTTCTCGCAGTTCTTGTTTCGGTTGTTTCGGGCATGGACCGCCAGATCGCACTACCTGCTTGTCGCAATTTCATAGGTTGATTCCGCAATTTCGAACGTTTTTAATTCTTCACGTGACACACGGTCAGGTGTAGGACTTCGAAGACTGTGCCGTGTTGCTCAAATAGGTTATTAAAAAATACGCTTCAAGCATAAGCCTTCAGACCTCCATGGTCCAACATCGCTTTATGTACCTTATACAGATAGACAACTACAGACTGGCAAGCCTAGCCATCAGAAAGAGAAGGCTGGCAAGGATGTCAAGACATAATGCACTTGAAGTACATTGAACTGCATCCCAAAAGCAAGGTATGCTATAAATTTTCAGACATTTTAAAGTATAATCACGTATTTTCTCATCCATAAGCTGGCATGATAATCTGATAATGATTCTAGCATGGGAAATTATGTATATGAAACCAAGGGCCCTTTTCCTCAGTTTAGATGCCCCACCCTGTGTAACCCAATAAGAAAAGCGCATATATGGCGACCTCGAACTTCTCTGTACATACCAAGCACGGTTTTGGAGAAATTGAAGCATTCAGCTGAAACTATCAACAAAGATGCAGTCCTGCGTATTCATGACCTCCTACAAGACGGCATCTCATTTGTGTGAGACAAATAAATGTCTGCGCACTCGTGCATGATGTGCTTTTTGCAGAAAAATGGGACCATAGATGCAGGGCATACTTCCGAACTCATGCAGCAGATATCAACAATAATAAGACTGGTTCAATACAGTATGCCAAGAAAATGCTGTTGTTTTGGTAAAACCTATTGGGACAGTGTGTCAGTCTGAGCTAGAAAACATTATTACGATGTATACGTACCAAGTAGCTCATCTTTCAGTATTACTCCAGCTCATATTAGGCCAGAGCAACCAGAGATGCACGTGTTTCATAAAACCACATACAGCAAAAAGCTCCGCGAAAGCTTGCATCATCCACGACAACACAGAAGAGATCGCGGCTGGTGAAAGCAAACAGACACTTCTTTTTCTGTTATCAGACTAAGTACCTGAAAGATATGCTTGTCAAATATGGCAATTCTGTTGTCTGTTTAGATGCCATGCATAAAACTTGTGACTATGGTTTGCCTTTTTTCCAGTTTATTATAAAACCACTAGCAGTGCACATAAAATCTCAAGGAAAAAAGTCGTACAATGCAGTCTAAATTTCAGCACAGCTCGAATACCTGTCGGTTTTACATTAATGACACCACTGCTGGCAGAACTGCAGTGATTCATGTAGTGATCCAAGTAGAGTATATTATAAGTTTATTGCGCTCTACTCACTGCAGAACAAATACATGTTTTCTTTGCTAAAACAGCTTTGTGGCCTGACCTGCACCTCAACATCACCTAAAGTAAAATGTGTAATCTCAGCAATTAACAAAGACATTGAAGAGCACTGAACTGCCTCTTTTCAGAGTCACTGCAGCCACCATTGTAGAAATGTACTTTTCTCAATAAACATTTCATTTGAAATTGGCTATTTCATTTTTTTATTCGCCCCAAGTGCTAACAATGTCGGCACCTAGCAGCAGAAGGGCAAACCGTGCCTACTGTGAATACAACGCAACTTCTGCTGATATGCATTGCCTGTGCACACGGGCTGCATGCAGAAAGCACCATGGAAAGCAAAGAAGACAGCTTGTGTTTTGAAGGTACGTAATTGTCTTCTCGCTACACGTTAACAAATATTAGAAAGAAAATTGAAACAATCAGTGATGGTTATACGATAACGTGCTTTTTTTGTTGTGTTTTTTCCAACAACACTTATAGCTTACCAAGACCATTAGTGGTCACTTGCCAAGTGTAGCTAGCTAATGTTGTTGCTTCAACGTTTGACACTTTCCTTGCGTATGAGCACAATCATGTACCCCATCGGAGATGGCTAAAAATGCCACGTCGAACGTGACTAGGTTTCAGAAGCCGGACATGTGATTATATGCAGCGCAGTAGTAGGTGCTTTCAGTATGGTACCTTGGCGCTATCAGTATGGCACAAAAATATTTACTAGTTCAGCGGCGAAACCCTAGGCGCTTGTGCTTCAACAAGTTGAGCCCATGCCGCTGCTTGAACCGGACGTGTTGCTTACGAGTTGTTTAGCTACTCTGCGAAGATGCCAGGAAAAAGAAAGTGGTGCTTTCAGTACGGCATGAAAATATTTACTCGTTCAACTGCGAAACCCTAGGTGCTTGTGCTTCAACAAGTTGAACCCACGCCTATGCTTGAATCAGACGTGTTGTCCTGCTGCTCTGCGAAGATGCCAAGAAAAAGAAAGTAGGGGAAATAATTGTGGGATGCCACGCGAGAAATTCCGGTGCGTTCTAAGCATAGATTTAGAGTGAAAAACGCACAGTGTGACAAGAGCGGACACCACCTTGCCTCTGGACCATCTGAAAGTCCAGAAAGAATGACAGGCACCCAGCATCATTCGGACACAGCTGCCTCGTCCATGCACGTCGTGTTGACATCAGAGACAGTTGATGCAGAGCTAGCCGAGCTTTCTGCAGACGTTGCTGTGGCATGTGAGGCCGTGGTAACCTCAAGCGACTAGTGCAGCAATTCCGGTGAGAGCGTGGACGTTGACAGCAGTTCCAAGAGTGCAGCTGATAGCAACACGTCGACACGTCGAAGCGGGAACACCGATCTCGTACGTGTGCGCTTGACATACATTGCTGATATAGAGTGGTGACATGACGATAGTTACAGCGCGAGAACAGAACGACGACAAAAGGACAAAAAGGTGGTTCTGTTCTCGCGCTATAACTATCATCATCTCATACCAACTAGCCCAAACTGCCACACCACTAAGTGTGGTGAGGTTACGTACGATCATTTTTTGCAACTGCAAGGAGTTGCTTCCATTTGTGCCTAAAGTCTAAGAGTTCTGTAAGCGACTTTGCAACAAAATATTATCGTTACCTGAAGTTGCGGCTAAGGTTAGTTAACTTTCATGCACATTTAGAAGATGGGATTATCCGTACATGTTTTACATTTACACACGTGTCAATGAACACCTTGGTAATTAAAAAATGCAGAACCTCTATAGTCCACAGTGATAAGCATGTTAAATACAAATGCATGCTGCCAATCACATCACTCTTTGTCATTTGAGAGATTTTTCAATCCAGCACACCAGAATAATATCAGTTGAGCCAACTTTATTGCAAGCCACAAATGGTCGCAGACTCACAAGCTTCAAAAGTGTGTAATGAAGAAATGAATCGCTCACAAATCTAAACTTTGTGGTCTAAAATTTAGCTCTGGGATAAGACTCGAGAGTGCGCAAAATTGCTCATACAAAGGAACTCATGAGCCAAGAATATTTGCGAGCTTTTGCTTTCAGAAGACGTGATGAATGGTTCCATGTGGTGAGATTTTGCTATGTTGCTCAGCATGTTTTTCTAAAGATTCAAAAAGGCCGACCTTTCATTTGCTCTCTCTGTCTCTCTCTCTCTCTCTCTTTTTAAGCATCAGTAAGGAAGACGTGCATGATCACATTACGATAGGCACAGGGTTCTCCCCATGGTGGTCGGCGGTGGTTTTGCCGTCCACCTCTCCGGCCGACCGTCCACCTCTCCAGTCGGCCGCCCACCACTGCCCACCTCTCGGGGTTCAAGCTTGCTGTACTCGGGGAAAACTGGAACCTACGAGTGCGAGACGCCGGCAAGCCGGCTCCCGCAAGCGCGAACCGAAAAAGCAGGCCGGGAAGGAAATGTTCAATGAACGGACCCGTCAGCGGCTGGAGAGAAAAGGTAATGTCAAAGAATGCGCTCATCGCAAAAGAACAGGAGTTGAGAGCGCACGGTGATACGGGTGCCATTTCCCCTTTCATGCCTAGGCTTGGCCGGCATGGCGTTGGCTTGGCTGCGCCTCCATACAGCTTCGGCATTCAGCTCGCCGATACCGATCGTACAGCTCGCGCGCGAGCTCTCATCGTTGTTGAGGGCCTCTATTCGCAACGTTGTCGCTGCTTTCTTCCTCAACTTTATTTATTGCTTTCTCAAGAAGCTGCATTTTCCTATTTGCGCAGCATCACTAGTAAAGACAGCGCCTACACGCTCAGCGTATATGTACATTTCTAAAACATTCGTGGTGTGGCGCCACTGAACGTCCCATCTTAATAACCCCGTGAATCCAATCCAATCCAAGCAAACGAGGCGGGCGCACGCGCGCTACGCCAGTGGTACATAATCTCTGACTACGCGAACAAAAGCCTCGTGGAATTCGTAGTCGTATGTTGTTCGTTCAGTCAGAGGTTCAGTCGTTCAGTTGGTTCAGTGCGCGGGAGATGGCTGCAAGAAAAAAGGCGGCGCAGCCGTCTCTGCTGTCGTTTTTTTCTCGAAAAGCTACCGAAGAAGTGACCAGTAGTGATCCGCAAGAACAAACTACGCAGCCGGAAGCACCCGACGTGGACGCTGTTGAGCCCCTGACATCGCCTGTGTCGCAGGGACTGAAATCAAGTGCGCATGATGGCGGCAGTTCAACCCCAAGCGTTGAAGCAACGTGTGATGAGACAAATGCTTGCGAAATGGGCAAGCAGGCAGCAGTCTTCAACGCATCTTGGATACGTGACCATCCATGGTTTTTTTATGACAACATCAAAGGTGGGATGTTTTGCAAGCTGTGCATAAAATACAACAAGAGGCCTTTAGAGAAGCCCGTATGGAATGAACAACCATGCAAAAGGATACGGCTAGACAGTGTTCGTAAACATGATGCGTGCCATTCACACCGCGACGCCGTCACGCTTGAGGCAAACAGCAAGGTGGCCGTGTCGCCGCTTGAAAAAGTTCAGTGCTCGGTCTCCCGCAACGCCATGAGGCAAGCATTTGCGTCCATGTATTACTTGTGCAAACACCGGATACCACACACAACGAACTTCGAGACGCTTCTCGGTCTGCTGTCTCTGCTTGGCCTTGATGTGAAAGCACAAATAACAGCCGGAAAGAATGCTACGTACTGTAGCCAGAGATCAATTCAGGAGATGGTCACGTGCCTGTCGGATGTCATTGAAGATAAAATCCTTTGCGAACTTCGTCAGAGTGAGCACTATGCTCTCATGTTCGACGAAACTACCAACTGCGCAACTGTGGAGCAGCTGGTCATCCACTGCAGGTACATTTTCGGTGGGGAATTAAGAGTAAAATTCCTGACTATGATTGATGTACTGGGCAACCACGAACCACACCAAGGTGACGAAAGAGCATTAGCCCTCAATGCCACCAACATTGCTTGTGCCGTTGAAGATTTTATGAATAAGAAAGGTCTGCTCTTTGGTGCCCTTCGCGGAATTGGAACTGACGGCGCACCTGTTATGACGGGAAAAAAAGGGGGGGCTGTGAAGTTATTGATTGACAAGCAAAAAGCTCTAACAGCTCCCCACAGCTTTCAGGCTGTAGGGGTTCATTGTGCGGCACACAAGCTCAACCTAGCAGCATTGCAGGCCGCCAAATCAATTCCATACATCAGTAAATTTAAAGAACTTTTGCAGCAACTGTACAACTTCTATGCATCCAGTTCAGTTCGAACAGCTGGGCTGAGTGCTGTGCAGAACATTTTGGAGTCGGAGCAACGTGGAGGGAAAATCATCGAGCCATCTGCCACACGGTGGCTGAGTGTTGGCGGGTCATGCACAGCCATCCGCAATAATCTCTCGGCCATCATCATCAGTCTCTCTAGGGAGGCAGAACAACGCAGTGACATCAGGGCAGCGGGACTGCTCAAGTTCGTGACGAATGCAAAGTTTGTTGGGACTCTACTGATGATGTGTGACCTTCTCCCAGCAATTGACAAGCTTTCCAGAACTCTTCAAACATCATCGCTGCAGGTAGACCTTATACAAGGACTTATAAAATCATGCATAAAGACCTTGGAAACGCAAAGCAACATCCAAACAAAGGTCAAGGATTTTTGTGTCAGCCATGACATAGAGGTAACCATTACAGAGGAATCTTGAACAATGGCTCCATAACACCAAAAGGGCATTTGTCAAGAAGCTGCTGGAAAATATCCAGGACAGGTTTCAGGACCACCCTATATTGGCCAGCTATTCTACTGTGTTTGACCGTAGCAGCTACAAACAAATGGTTGGTGGCAACGGCATTGAAGTTGTCAGTGCGCTGCAGAGGCTTTGCCCCACTCTTGGCAAGCCATATACTGAGGATATGCTAGCAGAGTGGATTGCTTTTGCCAACTTCGTGCTTGAGTGCGACCGTGTACAAAAGCTGACAGCTGCAGTCTTCTTGCTTTTTGTGGCACATGATATGAAAGAACTGTTTCCTATCATGGCTTGTTTAGCAGGGTCATATCTTGTACTGCCACCGCACACTGTAGACTGTGAACGAGACTTTTCTGCTCTTAAGCTAATTAAGACGCAGCTAAGAAACCGCCTGAAAAAAAGTCGCTGGACTGCCTTATTCGCATTGCATGCGAAGGACCTGATGTTGACACCTATCCATATGAAGAGGTTGTTGAAAAGTGGGCGAAGAGCAAGAATCGGAGGCTGAAGGTGTAACATGTCTGGGAAGGCAGAAATAAGAAATAAAGTCCCTTGTATTTTGTAATTCTGCTTGAACATCTGCACATCTACTGTTGCGCTGTCATTATTCGGTTCATGCTAATAGGACCCACCCTCCCTCCCCCTGCTTGACCCTCTGTTGTGTTGTCATTATTCGGTTAACGCTCATATAACACGACCTCCTCCCCCTCCTCCCCCCCCCCCCTCGCCGTCCACCTCTCAAAATTTTCTGGGGAGAACCCTGGATGGGCAGTCATGGAAACATGGAAAATCGGTAACAGTAGTGAGATTCTTCTTGCTGTCAATTTGTTGCGATTTACATAGTGCGCTTTTAGTCCATGAAATCTTGCAAGTCTGTTCAACCTTGGCTGTTTTTGTAGAGGTCGCCACCCAGTCATTCAGTCATTTAGTTCGGCTGCCACTAGCATGTGGCGCCCCTGAGATTGTATATATTCTGCCCCGAATAAAGTGGGAGGCCCTTTTTTCGTTAGCTGAGCAGCTGTTGTGCGTATCGTCTCTCTCCGGAGGCACGGGCCGCTCGTGCTCCGGCACGCTCGCGCGGCACCAGTCACAAGACAGTTTCGATTCACAGTAACCACCACTAGGATTTCAATCAAAACTATAGGTGTCTCTAACTAGCAATGTACATACTATTTTTAGGACGACCCCATCTACCCAAGTGCAAAGCTCACAAGAGGCCAAAGTATGCTGATGGTGATGGCAGACAGCCTGAGGCATGACTCGTCTAAATAAGCAACTGAGAGTATGCTGAGGGTGATTCAAGAACATATACCAGACGGAGCAACATTACCAACGACAAGGTACTCCTTCTTCAAACACCTTTGAGGTGCCGAAGTGCCCCTCAGAGACATTGTTTATTGCATGGCTTGTTCCTGTTACATTGGTGAGATTCATAGCCTCAGTGCCAATGAATGTTGTAAAGAGTGTGGCAAAGTCCTTGAGCTTGATGAGCTTCTATATAGCTCTTGTTTGTTTGTTTTTTTCACTGTTGATTTAGCAGCCCAAAATAAGGATCTTCTGGAAGACCTTGATTGCGTTCCGCCTAAGCCAAAACAGTCGAATACTGTTCATGACATTTCAGACAGTGCAGAGTGCCAGGCGTTGCCCTTACAGGGAGACGATTTCACATGAACTTTTAACACGGATGGAGTGCTGCTTTTCGAGAGTTCGTCCTATTCGTTGTGGCCCCTGCTAGCCTAGGTGAATGAATCGCAATTTAAAGAAAGAATTCAGAAAGTGTTTTGGGCAGGCTTGTGGTTTGAACCAGAGAAGCCACGCATGAATAAATTTCTCTTGACATTTGTCCACATGGTGAACAAGCTTTCTGCAAAAGGTATTATCTGGATGTACAGCTCCGGCCAGGCAAAGGCGTCAAAGGTTTTTCTTGAGCCTTGCTGTGTGGATAGCGTAGCCAGGGCTGATATAATGTGCATGGCTCAATTTAATGGGAAGTACGTTTGCGCCTGGTGCGAGGAGCCCGGAAAAGTTGTTGAGAAAGGCAGATGTCACTCCAGAATGTACCCTGCACCTGCCATTATTCCCAAACGACGAAAGAATGAATCTTTCATTTCGCATGCCAACAAAGCCAGAATGGAACCTAAGAAAGTGAGCAGTGGTATTTAAAGCCATCAGTTTCCTGACTATGCTCACTTTCTTCGCTTTCAGTTCAGGTTTTGTTGTGGACTATATGCATGCCGCTTATTCGGGATTTGTGAAAGCCACAACAATAATCTGGCTGGAGTCCAAGAAGTGTAGAAATTTCAAACTTAAGAAGTCACTCAATAGAGTTAATGCTAAGATGTTTGCAATGCAGCCACCGTGGGAACTGTCGCCACTTCCTAGGTCACTATCTGATGTAACGCACTGGAAGGCGTCAGAGTGAAGGAACTGGCTGCTTTTCTACTCTCCAGAGATCCTTAAAAACTATGCTTCATCATGTTATTACTCTAATTGTCTTGAATTTGTCGACATGATGCACTACTTGCTTAGTGCATCAGTTTCTGTGCAGGCCCTCGTTGAGAGAAAGAGACGAATGCTGGGCTTTTTACATGAGTATCAGAACCTGTATGGTAAAAGGTATATGATATACAATGCACATGCTTTGTTGCACCTTGTTGACAGTGTGTGTGACAAGGGACCACTGTGGGGATATTCATTGTATCCATTTGAATCGATCAACGGGCAACTTGGAAGGTTTGTGAATGACACGAGGTATGCGGAAGTGCAGATCATTGAAAAATTCACTGTTCTGCAGACTCTGCCTTAACTCTGGATGCCTGTCACTGGTAAGCACAGCTTCACAAATGGCCTATTTCAAGATCTCTTGAAAGAATACCACCTGAAACGTCACATACCACAAGTTAAGAATGTAATGATGTATGGGAAGGGTATCAAAATGGGGACTGTCGTATGCTTCAAGAAGATTAAGATGCGCACCTTTTGTCTTTGTGTGTCAAGCCTAGATAAAGCTAGGAGGTGCAAATCATTTGTTTTATGTAGCAATGTGTTTGCAGGATTTGTGATGTTGTTGTTGGTTGCCGTGAAAATCATGCCATTTGTAGCTGCATTGCCAGTGCCATTGTTAAGCTTGAAGTCTTCAATGAGAGGCAGAGTATGTTTGACACATTTAGCAAAAATAATATAGTTCAGATCGTCGATCTTGAGCCATTAAGGAACTTTGTCATAGTGCCTGCAGAGACGGCGCCAAAGTGCCTTGCTGCCAGAAATGACACAAGTACTTTCCTTTTTGTTCTAACTGAAGAGCTTGCACTGGAGTCAACATGATCGTAAAGCTGCTGCCTCTGTAGAGCCATGCCGGTTACTGATTATCAATCTTGAAAGGGCCATGCACTAAAATTTCATCCTCTGGGTTTCCTTGTGGCTTCCTGGGATATATTTTGAAAGAATTTCGAAAAGCAGTGTGAGCTATAGTATTAAGCCTACAATTGCAACAACAAAGTGGACAAAAATCGACTAGCCCTTTCGTATTTCGATTTCCCGTGATAAAGCATGCTCCTTCCAATCAAAGCAGACTATTGCCATATGAGCTGGTACGAACCGGCTATCTTCGCAACATGCTGCTTCTATGCAAAGCTCAAGGCAGCCTCCAACGACAATGCCAACACTCCCACTGGAACCAAAAACGATGTGCTGCAAAACATGACAACGCAGCGCGAAACGTGGGCGAGCGATTGTTCAACCTAACTATGCATCACCGCCCTTCCCTGCAGCTTACACCAGACGTAGCCGTGATTGAACGAAACAGCACACGACGCAGTCGATGGCCGAACAACGCTGAAACAGTACACCAAGCGCCAACTTGCACAGGATCGTTGATCGTGATCTGATTACCGTCCTCAAGACACTGGAGCTCATTATACAGTAATGAGCACAGAATTTGTGGTGCATCTCAGGAAGGTGACATGAAATGGCCCGCACATTCATTCAGAGGGAGGTCATATCATAACGTCGTTAGGGAGGTGTACAGCGCAGGTGACTATTCATGGTTACATTTACCCAGCTATCTTTGTGATCCTGCAACAGTGCCTTCGAAATGTTTTTCTTGGTGTGAACTTCATCAGCAAAAACGATGCGGTAATTAACTTGAAGTCTTGGTCTGTATGTCTACGTAGCAGTCAGTTTCGGTGGAGAGAGACCAACCTCGTGCCACTCTTGCCATCATTGACACGCAAGTCAGCATTCCAGCCCATGCCAGCATTTTGGTCTCCATGAATGTGGGCCCAAGCTCAAGGAGAGAAGCTCGTATTGAAACAAACGCGCAGTTCTTGCTGAACCGTCAAGTAGGAATCACACGTGGGGTGGTATTCCTGTGTCACGGCCACGCAGAAGTTGTCATCTCCAACTTCAGCTTGCCGAAAGCAAGTATCTTATCAAGGGCACGGCAGTCAATTTCTCGGAAAATAGCCATTACGTACCAACACACGTGGCAATATAATTTTGAGTCAGGCCATAACAGGAGACTGAATTAATTTGGCCTCCTTGGGTTATTTACCACGCACTTGGCCTTATGCATTTTTATAACTATTTGTGATGTCATTATTAGAGACAGATGCTTGGGCTAGTTGGTGATTGGAAATCAACATATTTGCACAGCGCAAGACGAGTAGTTACGACGTAACTACAGAAGAAGAGACAAGGAGAGAAAGAGCGCTGTATCGCTCTTTCGCATAGTTTTGCGCTGTGCAAATATGTTCATTATTAGAGACCAGAATTCAGGCAAATGCCTATTTTGTTCCTTGTGTTCCTATCGTGCCATTTTGATATATGAGCATAGGAGTTAGAGGTAAAGTACAAGCATATTTTAAAAATTGGCACCTATTTGAGCACTGTTTAACGTCAATTTTCACTTGCGTGTGCGGCTTGAGACCATTATTTGTGTTATCGAGCAACATTGACAG